TCATTCTCTGACGGGGAGTTGTTTGAAATAGCAAGCATCGAGAGATCCTAGGACTGATGACTGCTAGGTACGAAAAATAAACAAATCGGAGTGCGATAAGCAGCGGATAATTCAATGTGATAGAGGTCTCCGATGTGGCAGCGTAGACGCCGACTGAGCAGGGGACGCGTTATCCATCAGGACAACGGATCTCTAACGTTCATGATCATACCACGTTTTAGCGTTTAGAAATTTCGTGGAGACGAGATGAAATATTCGAATGAGTGCGATGAGTGTCTGACTGCGCCGCAGTAGGGGTCCTACTCTGGTTCTCTGCAGCGTATTATTGATTTTCACTCAAAATGCATGGGACCTAGCATTGTAAACGTCAAATAGCGTGCAATTAGAGAAGTGAGTTTTGTAATAAATGATCAGTATGCAATGCAAGATTGCGATAGAGTTTGCTCTTTCACTTTTAGAAGAAATGCGAGCAGTTTAGTGTCGAAGTTGCATACTGTCAGAAGAACTCGTGCTGGGATCACGCCAGTGACACTGTCATGTTTTGTGTGTCTAGAGTGAAAGAAAGTACGCCTGTGAAGAATTTGGAATTCTTTTTCACGTGATAATCTATTGTTGATAGATGGTTTGAGTTGATGCCGGAGGCGATCGAAATATTCACGTACGATTCGATTATTTCTTGCTGTGGTGAAACAACAATAATTGCTAGTCCAACACAGTGTAAATGAAAACTACAGCACAATGATAATCTTAATTACAATAATTTGGTCTTCTATTGCTAAAAAAAAGTAGAAGAATTCTAATTACTAGCTGTCGGCTGGTTTGTTGAATTTATGCGCGGCCCGACCAATGAATATCATTTACGGACTGCATATGTTACGAATATAATGCAGAAAGCTAGTCAGTCTAGACGTATGCACAATCTACGTCAAGATAGGTAGATAAATGTCTATCTATCAGATATCAGACAGACTTGCATTTATTTCTGTGTTTATGTATGTCCTTTTATGTGAATATTCATTGGGTCGGGCTTCGTACAATTTCAACAAACTGGCTGTGTGTACCCCGTTGATTATAGACGTAACACTATCTGGTAGATGTACACGTTAAGGGAAAATGCGCTGTTAGTATTTTCGTGCTCCAGTTACACACGAGAGTGGTTGCTGCATCTCGTCACGTAATCGCGCGAGAACGAACGAACCGTCACGGAAGTTCTCTGGAAATGCTGATAATAGAGCGGGGAGATACCACGGCGCTTCAGGAATGGTATCAGGTGGCGCTTCGAGGTGATAAACCAGTTGGAGAAGCTGGTAGGTGCAGTCCAAGTGCAACATTGCAAGCAATTTGATCATGCCCGACCGGAAGCTCTTTTTTTCATGGGTGACAGATATACTACGGGGTCATTTTTAGGTCTTAATTAAGGGATCATTCGAATGCGTTATCATTTCGTTGGGCATCGCAGTTATCTTACAAGTTAAAAATTTACAAACATTTTTCATGTGAAATAGTTGCATCCTAATAGAGACGACCCGCCTGACAAACAGATCCTTTCTCCAAGCATGAGTGAGGGAGTGTGTGAAGGCAAGGAGGGGATGGAGGTAGGTGGACGGAAAGAAGCCGCTCCTGCCGGCGGGCGCAGAAGAAACGGCCAGAAGGCATCGGGTCGTGAGAGAGAGCAGATGCTACCGCTGTAGGCTCGCGAAGAACAGGACAGCGGAGAAGGAAAAGGACAGCGGCCAGAAAGAGTGGAATCAGTCGTACAGGTGACCTCCTACACGAGGTGGCCCGGCGTGTGCTGAGTGAGCCAACCGCGTGACTCTTTCGTCGCGTCGCCTCGCGTACTGTGAGCATGCACAACGTTCTTAACTTGCTCGCGTGCTCCCGCGCTTATCTTTGCACTGTAATTTTGTGTATCGGCAATATTTTGACAGGTAGTTGCTGCTCGTTGCGGTCTTAGCGAATGGTTAATTAAATAACATATGGATTATTAAATGCTGATTATTTTTTGCGAGTTTTTCTTTGAATAAATAGAAACAAGATAAATAAGTTTATATATCTACTACGTTTGATTTTTCCCACCCCTATTATTTTTCCCCTTTTTAACAGTATTCAGTTGACGCCCACGCAATTTGATTTGTATACTAACCGTTTACAGTATCTTTTTTATTACTTATTTGTTTTTTAAATGTTATCATAATTTCTAATACAAGTATCATCTATCTACTCATTCACTCATACCATCGAGTTCATAATTCACCCACGCACCCTATTAATTTATTATTTACTCCTAAATCTGCGTGTGACTTATGTTCTGTTTGATTTTTTAAAATATAATTTCTTCCCCATTTGTGTGACAAGTCCCTTTTCTGTTTCTACTAGAACTCACCCATCAAAGTATCTTTAGTTTTTTATTTCTTTTATTATGATTACCCATGAACAAATATAAGTAATACATCTTTCATTTATTTTTAAATCATTGCAATGCCCTTTATTCCTTAAACTAAAAAAAGAAAAAGAAAAGAACAGGAATTCTGAATATCTCCAACAAGTCAAAGAAATGTTCTTGGAGTTCACTGGTTAAATGTAGCATAAATTCACCCCTTCAGGAAGCTGGCCAACTTCTTCAAGATGGGCGTGCAGGACGGAGCCGGGGTGGTGACCCAGGGGCCTAGAGCCAGCAGATGTACACCTCTGACATATGTCTCTATGACCAACTCGGTCAATGGGACTATGGGATCCTGACGAAGGTTTGTTTGTTGCTGGTTGGTTGATATTGTCATTGTTCACATCAAAAATTTGTGGACTCCTTTTTTGGAGTGGTTAGGGGCAGGGCATGGTGTCTGGTGAATGAGGTTAGGTGGAGTGGGTCAGGATTGGTAGAAACATACAAGATTTTAGGTTTCTCAATCTGATCTCAATGGTTTGAAGCGTAGGGCGCTAAAGGTTAGCAAATATCACGCTAATGGGACAGTTGGTTGTTGGGAGTAAAGGAAGCCAAGTCTTAGTGTTTTATGTGTGGATTCTGAGATGCATTAGTGTAATTTTGTGGAAGGTGTCTCTTGTCTGCGTGTATAATGTGTCGTGGGAGTCTGTTTTATTTATGAGTGGTGCGTGAGAAGTATGAGTGTTTGAAGGTTACAGAAGGAAGGGTTGACAAGTTTCTCAGTTAATAAAGTTTTGCAAGCAATTTGAGTGGCAATAATCTACTAGAATATCAATTGATGTCTTATCCTTGAAACAACAAAATTCTTCTGTGTGGGACTGATCTGACTACCCAAAATGGGAGGCTGTACCTGGCATGAGCTTTCAGCCAGGCACAGCCAGAGGTGTGTGCTCACCCTCAACCATGGTGACCACATGGACTCTACACTCTTCCGTCTACAAAAAGGTATGAAACATAACAATGATTTTGGTTGAATATCGTTTCAGATCTGTCATTGATGCTTTTTATCTGTATTTCATAAGATCAGATGTGGAATTGAATATTTTTCTGGCTTACCAAGCAGAAGTGCTATCTTCAGTAATCATCCTTTTTTATCATTCAGGGTTGGTACTTCAGCTCCGGCCATCTCTGCTGGGAAGTCCGTCAGTGTGTTCACCACCACACGCAGAGGACCTAGAGAGGGTTTCACCCGTAACCGTATACTAGACGTCTCCAATGAAGAGTGACTCTCGCAATAAGGGTGATGATAAGCCCTTATGTTGAAGTAGTCACATTTCAGCAGGAGCTTTCCATTTCTATTTCACCTATGATGATGGATCGTG